TGGACTCCATCAAAATAAAAAACTTCAAAATATACCATTCAAATATAAAAGGCAAGCCAAGCATGATGGCTCACACCTGTGATCCCAGCATTCTGGCAGGCTGAGCTGGGAGGACTGCCTGAGCAAGAGTGAGACCTGTCTCTACTAAAAATAGAAAAACTAACTGGGTGTTGTGGTAGGCGCCTATAGTCCCAGCTACTTGCAAGGCTGAGGCAAGAGAATCACTTAAGCCCAAGAGTTGGAGATTGCTGTGAGCTGTGACGCCAAAGCACTCTACTGAGGGTGACGTAATGAAACTCTGTGGTCTTTAAATAAAAGATCACCTGAGCTCAGGAGTTTGAGATTGCTGTGAGCTACACCATGGCACTCTACTCAGAGCAATAGAGTGAGACACTCTCTCTCAAAAAAAAAACATATATATACACACACATATACACAAAAATATACAAAAGAGGCAAGGGATAGACTGGGAGAAATAGTTTCAAATATACAAATGGCCAATGACTTACATACAGAATGTATCTTGATAGTAAGATAAACGACCCAGTAAAAATATGGACAACAGCTCAGCCAGGACTTATCACCCACATCCTCCCAAAAAACGATTTAAATAAGGGAAAAATATATGTGCAAGAGAGTTGAACAGAAAATTCACAGAAAAACAAGGGATGGGGAGGGTATAAAATGGCCAATAAAAACCTGAGAAGATGCTCAGCATCATGAATGACCAGAGAAACACACCACAGTGGGAGCCCCGCACACCACCCTACGTCTAAAACAGACACCACCAAGTACTGGTACGGACGGGGAGCCCTGGAACCCACACTGCAGTCCTGGAGAGCAAGGCAGACGATACGTGTTGATGGTTTCCTGTAACATGAAACAAACTCAGCAGAGGAAGCAAAGCACCGTCTACACAAAGACTCACATGTGCATTTACAGGCGCTGTGGTTGGAACTGGCAATGGATGGACGGACAAAAAATGTGCAGTGCGTGCAGAGGGTGGACGCTTCTCAGCAACAGGGTCACTACCACACGGCTGTGTGCACCCGTGGCACCAAGCTACTCTGGAGGCCAAGTATCCCGTGAGCCTGGGAGTTTGAGGTCAGCCAGTGCAACAAAGCAAGACCCTAGCTTGTTAAAAAATCATTTTATGGGCGGCGCCTGTGGCTAAGTGGGTAGTGCGTCGGCGCCATATACCAAGGATGGCAGGTTCAAGCCCGGCCCTGGCCAAGCTGCAACAAAAAAATAGCCAAGC